ACTGGGCTCTGCCTCAGGTCATGCACAAATCCGGCTGCCTTGCCTTTTTCAGGCAGTTCTTTAAACACCGTTCCTCGAGCTTCCTCAATCCAAAGGCCTCCTCCCTGAAAGTCCCCTAACGCCTTCGCAACAATGGGGAAACCCTGAGCATTCCTCAAATCCCTATGCATAGGCATCCTTACATTCCGGGTAAGGTACACCGTGGTCCACCCTAGCCCAAAAACCTTAGACCTAAGGTAGCCATTAACATACCTTACCAACACCGGAAACTTCAGCGTAAACACCGAAACCCCCTTAAAACCCCCAACAGCGTAGAGCCCACAGAGAGCGGCTTGACCTTGCCCGGATCCAATAGCTCTCCGAATTCCAGGTACTCCCTTCGCGGCCTTCTGAAGAACTTCCCAACAGGTTTCCTCTGAAAAATCCCTGGCATCCAGGCACTTCTGAATCCAACCTTCATCTTCAAAGCTTAACACATGTACCTTCCTTACGGAATCCGCAGAGCCTTGGGGTTCATCAGAAAACTCATCCCATCTCAACCCCCCATCAAACGTCCCTTCAAGGAAATCCCCTTCACTCCAAGCTCCCTCAGAATCCTCAGGCAAAAGCCACTGGGAACAAGCGAAAAAATCCTCACCCCCAACTACTGAACCTGAAGCCGAAGCCGAAGTTGCACCTGAAGCTGAAGCTGAAGTTGAGAGGGACTCCCCCCCAGGTTCGTCCAAGAACCTGGTCTCACAAACTGACGGCGATTGCCACGAAATAGCTGCTAACACCCTGAGCGCAAAGCCAGGGGAGCGCTTGCCTGTGAGACGAAATTTCGGTTTGCATGATTTTTTGAAATCCAACTTAAGAGGATACACCGTGTTAGTAAGCAACACTTTGCCCTCTTCACCCGAAGACTCATCAGGAGGCACCCAAAGAAGGTGACCTCCAGGTGTATCCGGCGCCAATCCAAGGTAGCTTCCAGCAACAGTCCGAGTTTTCCAATGAGACCCATACCCTGTAGCGAACCGCTTCCGACCATGCACTACCATGCCAAAAGGTAACAACGGCACCGGGCTTCTACCCAAATATTCGGACAACTCATGCCAATTGCGCTCGGTAGCGTGTAAAGCTGCCAAAGGCCAAAAGGACACCGGGAACTTTCCTACCTGGAGTAACTTCCGGACCAACCCCTTTATCTGCTGAACCGCTAGCTCGGCCTTATTTCCAGCAGGAGCATCCCCGGGCGTCCAAGTCGCATGAATTCCTTTATCCCGCAACCAGCTTACCAGAGCTGCCGATTTCAACTCTTGTGCCCTATCGGCATGATACCTATTCACCGGGTACCCCGAAGCCTCAAGCCGATTAATAAGACGTTGCACCTGCCCCAACACTTCTCGACCCTTTTTGGTCCTAAGAGGGGCTGCCAAGAACAATGATCTTGTCTTAAGTGGAACCCCCTCCGGCAGAGGCCCAACTCCACCTGCACATGGCTCGTCAGCTTCCGGCCTTTTACCACGAACCCTACGGGTTATAGCAAAAAGCTGAGCCTCAACAGGGAACGCATCTGGATCTACCTCAAGGCCATCCACCGGAACCAAACCTGGCTCGGCTTGCTCCGGAGGTTCAGAAGGAGCATAGTCCTCATCGTCCTCTTCCGGAGCTGTTGTAGGCTCCGACGCCCGAGGCAGTGGGATAGTGTAACAGCAAACCAGTAAGTGCCTATAGTTCAAACCCCTATCTCTTCCAGAGGCCACCGGGTCGAAGCACCTGCCTGAAATGAAAGGTCCAGCTAAGTCGAAGCTTGCTGAGTATACGTTGGTAAACGAGTTACGCCAGTGAGAACGCTGCCTCCCCTGTGCCGCAATACAAACCTCGCAGCCCCTACGATAGGGAACATGATCATGCAGCTCGTGCTGAGCACGCGCTTGTTCTTCAGTAAGCTTCGCTAGCAACAACTGCCGCTCGGCAATTTCCTGCCCTTGCTTAGCCTCCAATTTCCAAGCGTTCCAATACCCTTTAATCAGCTGTATCAGCGCCGGTGGCCAATTCCACCGTACATCCGAAGAGCCACAACCCCATTTGCGCCTCAACTCGTCCAACTCTGAAACCTCAGCACTAACCCTTATCCCATGCAACGACTCAAACAGAAGCCACGAAGACGTAAGCAGACGCGTGGTTCGTACTTCCTGAAGCCCGAAGCAACCCTGGTCAAAGACAGCAAGGTGTAATCCATAGGCCTTAGTTACTGACTGCACTAGCTTATCAGCCCACCACCCCTTGTCCCCTTTTCCAGACGGATTCAACCCTCCTATCCTAGGACTCTCCCAGGACAAGAACACAGAGGAGGTAACCGGTTTCTCGGGCTCGGGGTTCGGGGCTACAGGAGATCTAATTTTCTCAGCCGCCCTTTCCAAAGCCCACTTAGCAAGCGCCTCAGGGCCGGTCACATCATCCGGAATCGCATCTCCTTCCGGCCCTTCTTCTGAAGAGCCTAAGAGTTCCTGATTATCCCTGACAGCCTGTGCAACAAAGAATAGCAGAAGAAAGCGAAGTCGTACAACCACTCGCTCCTCGTAAACCTTAAGGGAGGCTGGGGAGAGACCATCATCCTTATCCACAGCACCCCGATGCTCTTCAAGAGCCTCCCAAGGTACTTCCGAAGCAATAACTAGGTCCCTTAGTTCCGGTTCACCAACAAAACCTCCAAACACTCCCAATAACGCCCACCGAAGCAAATGGCTACACACTAACCTGCTGCCCAAGCCCTTTTCCGTCCCCGGTACCCTTAACACTCTCCCTGCACCTTTCCACCCCGAAGAGTCCGACGAATAGCGAAGTAAAACAGAGCCCATCCTTCCCCGATCTAAGGATCGTCGAGTCCTCCTATTCCAGGGGAAACCAACCCAATCAGCCTGGTCACTTCTCGCCGAGGCTACACACACCCTGGCTAGCAACCTAACCGGGACGTCAGGGAACAGGCCCCGCAGAAAGGTCAACTGAGTCCAATCATCCAGCACCCCTCCCTCAAGGCCCTTAACCCTTTCCTTCAACCACCCGCGAGCAGATCCCAGGTCAACCCGGCCAGTCACATCCTCAGACCCTACCTTACAGACCCCACGACCCTCGCTAACTCGAGCCTCATACCTTTTCAACAGGCCCAAGCCTACTTCCTTAGGAATCAACGGGCAGCCCTTTACGACCCTTACTTCCAAGCTACCTTCCCTGGGGTGCTTAATACTACAACCCTTCTTTTGCCAGGAAATAACGAACCCTAACTCCACAAGGTAGTTCGCAGGTAGAATCACTTGGCACTGACCCACATGAAGGAGGGTGCCGCAGTCGTTTACTCGTAAGTCGGCCCCCCCACTAGCCAAATCCACCCGAATCACTCTGCAACCTTGGAGCTCGGCCTCTGAGGCCGGGCGTAGAGCGTTGGTGGCCCCACTGTCCACTAGACAATATGCCGGGTCCGAGGCGCTAATTAAAGCGCTCTTCAACCAAGAAAGGTCCAAATTGGGTTCTTCGAATCTTAACGCCTTCAGGGAAACTCCCTTAAGCAGCTTGGTAGCCTCCGCAAGAAGTGCATCCCTCGTAGCCGCAACCTCCGCACTAGGCGTGCTACTCGAAGAGCCCGGAACCGCTGCACTAGCATCTCCCTTCGCAGTATCTTCCGAAACACCTTTAGCCTGAGCTCCAGCCTTGGCCTTCGGCTTACCCTTAGAACCCCCCTTTCCCCCTGGACTGGAGGCCTTGGGAGATGCATCGGTGCCCGAGTCACTCTGCACGATCCT